TAGTCCAGGCAGGAAAGTCTGTAAGACTCTTATCTCCAATAGACCACTAGAAAATAGGAAGTGGTGTTGTGGCTCAAGTGATAGAGCACTAGCCGTGAGCTGAAGAGCTGAGGAACAGTGCCCAGGCCCAGAGTCCAAGCCCCAGGACTGACAAAAAAAAAATCTACATTCTAACAGACTGGAATATCTAGAAGAAATGGACGTTTCTAGCTATGTATAACCTACCACAATTGATTCAAGAGGATATAAATCACCTAAATAGAACAATAGCAATCAATGAAATTGAAGCAGTAATAAATAGCCTCCCAAGAAAGAAAAATGTAGACTCAGATGGGTTCAGGTCTGAATTCTACTAGACCTTCAACAGGAACTAACACCAATTCTCCCCCAACTATAATATAAAATAAAAAAAACCAAACTCATTCTATGAAGCCAGTATTACCTTGATATCAAAATCATATAGTGACATGATAAAAAAAAAAAACTACCGACCAACTTTCTGGTAAGCATAGATACAAAACATCTCAATATAATACATGGAAAATAAATTCAACAACACATTAAAAAGATCATACACCATGATCAAGTTGTTTTCATTATAGGGATGCATAGATGTTTTCACATATGGAAATAAATTAATATAATACAATGCAAAATAAAGGACAAAAATCATATGATTATCTCAATAGATGCGGAAAAAAAGGCTTTTGATAAATCTCAAGATCCTTTCCCGATTAAAAAAAAAACACCTTGTAATCACTTGGAATAAAAGGAGCATAGCTCTTTGATAAAGGTTATATACAATAATCTACAGTCAATATCATCCTAAATGGGAAAAATGCTACTTTTTCTGTAAAGTCAGGAACAAGACAATGGTGTCCATTCTCCTCACTCTTTTTGTTGTTGTTGTTGGTTGTGGGCCTTGAACTCTGGGCCTTAGTGCTGTCCCTCAGCTCTTCAGCTCAAGGCTAGCACTCTACCACTTGAGCCACAGCACCACTTCGGTTTTCTTGTGGTTTATTGGAGCTAAGAGTTTCACGGACTTTCCTGCCCGGGCTGGCTTTGAACTGTGATCCTCAGATCTCAGCCTCCTGAGTACCTAGGATTACAGGCGTGAGCCACCGGTGCCTGGCTCTCCTCACTCTTATTCAATATAGTGCTAGAACTCTTAGCCAAAGGAAGAAATAAAATGGATACAAATAGGAAATGAAAAAATCCAATTATTCCTATTTGCAAATGATATGATCCTATGCTTAAAGATGGAGCCCTAAAACTTCTACCAACATAACTCTCAAGATATGATAAACACATGGTAAAGCAGCAGAAAACAAAATCAATATTTAGACCAACAGTGAACAGACTAAGAAAACAGGAAAACAATCCCACTCACAATAGCCTCAAAAAGTAGGGATAAAGCTATCTGATAACTAAATAGTGAAGAAAGAAATTTTGAAGAAGAAAACAGAAGATGGAAAGATCTCCTATGTTCATAGATCAGAAAAATTAGAACTGGGAAGATAGCTATACTATCAAAAGCAAACTACAGAGTCAATGCAACTTTCATCAAAATTCCCAAAGGGGACAGGCCAAAGATGTGGTTCAAATGATACAGTGCACTGAGTTTAAGCCCCAATGCCAAAAAACCATAATGGATTTCTAATAAATATGATGGTGTTGAAATATATTTATTGACCTGAAAAGGAATTTATTTTTTTAAGTGAAAAGGAAAAAAAGAGTTTATATACTATTAGTTATATTACCTTATTTTTATAAAGATTGCAAAATTGATATACACATATATATACATTAATCTTGAAAGATATAGATATCCATGGTAATTATCTTTGAGGCTTATCTGTAGTTTTTAACATTTTAACAATAATTATGGATTATTTATGTGATGAGAATATAAGAATAAATAGAAGAATAGCTTACTCAAAACCAAGCACTGCTCAAACTTACTAAATGATAGTTACTAAAATGGAGATCACACACACACAAACACCCATATTTCAAATGATTTTCTGCCCCCCTGTGGGGAACCCTACACATTGCACACTGAAATAGGAAAAATTCAGAACTATGAAAATTCTGTGATGACAGAATGTCTTATGTGGATCCAATGTTTACTTAAAGCTTTGTTGATCAGTTTGTTTTCCCTACCAGGAAATTGCTAGGTAGAAAATAATGCTTAACACTTGTATGTGCTTACAATATGGCAAACACTAGTCACATATGAGTATCTATATATATACACATACATACATAGGTGTAGGCACATATGTGTATGTGTATATATACATATATATATATATATATATATATATATATATATATATAGTTTTCTCTCACAGAAATTCCATGAGATTATTTCCCCCTATGTTAAAGATAAATCATAGATTGCTTGATCATCTGCCAACAGTGAAAAAATTTGGTCAGGTGCTCCAAAGTGTTTTGCTCTGGGTCAAGTATTTAAAATTTTTGGATTTGCCATTCCCTAATAGAATTGCCCTAATACTTGACTGATGGATCTTTGAGGAAGAATGTTTTTAAATGCAACTTCTGAGAGGATTAAGTTCTCCAAACTAGTACTTCCTGGCAGAACTGCTTCTGGAAGTATGGTTCTCCAGCTTGGCAACTTCCCGAGAATTGTTTGTCACTGGTGCAGAGAGGAAAGTATGGAAGCTGAGGTCCTTCACGCCATTTTGTTGTTGTTGGTTTTTTTTTTTGGTCGGCTGTGGGGCTTGAACTCTGGTCCTGGGTGTTGTCCCTCAACTCTTCAGCTCAAGGCGAGCGCTCTACCACTTGAGCTACAGTGCCACTTCCGGTTTTTCTGGTGGTTATTGGAGATATCAGGAGTCTCACGGTCTCTCCTGCCCGGGCTGGCTTTGAACCGCGATCCTCAGATCTCATCCTCCTGAGTAACTAGGATTACAGGCGTGAGCCACCAGCGCCCGGCTGTTGTTTTTTTTTGTTTGTTTGTTTGTTTGCTTTGCCAGTCCTGGGGCTTGAACTAAGGATCTGTGTACTGTCCCTGAGTTTCTTTTGCTCAAGGCTAGCATTGTAGCACTTGAGCCATAGTGCCACATCTGGCTTTTTCTGTTTATGTGGTACAGAGGAATGGAACCCAGAGCTTCATGCATGCTAGGCAAACACTACCACTAAGCCACATTCCCAGCCCTTCACACCATTTTTATAGATCACTAAACAGCTGTTGACTTCAACGATAACTTTTTTGTATGTTTTTTATTGTAAAAATACTGTACAGAGGGGTTACCGTTACATGAGCAAGGTAATGAGTACATTTCCTATTGAGCATTGTTGCTTCCTCCTTTGTTTTTTTTCCCCCAACCATCCCTTCTCTCCCACCTCCACAGCTATCCCCCTACCTACCTCCCTCTCCTGCCAAAGTTGTAAAGTTCATTTTCAACATAGTGTCTTGTGCATCTCATTGCTACAATGGGTCAACCCGTATCCCTATTTAAGCATTTTGTTTTTTCCCTTCCCTTCCCCAAATTACAGAAGTGTATATACATGATGCAGGGCACCGGAATCAAAAACAGTGAAAACGGGTTATAAGGTGGGGTAGAAACATACAAAGAAACAAAAAAACAACATCACATGGTACATTATAAATACGTTAGAAACAATAGCAAGGAAGAAAATTTTGTGTCCCTATCTTGGGGGTTCATTTCGCTTAACATCATCTTATATGCTCATATGTACATAGCTTTTGACCATTTCTGCTTGTCCTACACATGTACTGGTTATTGCAAATAAGAGAAACCATGGGACCTATATTTCTTTGGGCCTGGCTTACTTCACTTAATATAATTTTTTCCAAGTCTTTCCATTTCCTAACAAATGGGGCTGTGTCATTCTTTCCGATGGAGGCACAGAATTCCACTGACTGGGACTTCTGTCTTTCATTCTTTTGTTATTTTACTAAAATACAGCTCATGCTGGGTGCCATTGGCTCATGCCTATAATCCTAGCTACTCAGGAGGATTAGATCTGAGAATCCAGGTTTGAAGCTAACTGGGGCAGACAAATCAGGAGATAATGGATTCTTATCTCCAATTAACCGGCAAAAAGTAGAGAAGAGAGGCCAGGCCGTGGGTGGCTCACACCTGTAATCCTAGCTGCTCAGGAAGCTGAGATGTGAGGATCACGGTTCAAAGCCAGCCCGGGCAGGAAAGTCTGTGAGACTCTTATCTCCAATAAACCACTAGGAAACCGGAAGTGGCGCTGTGGGTCAAGCGGTAGAGCACTAGCCTTGAGCTGAAGAGCTGAGGGACAGTGACCAGGCCCAGAGTTCAAGCCCCGGTACAGGTACTAAATAAATAACTGCTCCCCACAGCAAGTCTGAGCAGCACTGATGGACACCAAGGCTGTTTGAAGAATTTTACCCAAGTCAGGATTCTCCTGAGGCCTACCGCCACCCGGCCCGGCCCTGCCCGCCTAGGCCGTGAACCACCAGGCATTTTTCTTCCCCTCATTTCAGGAACTTGGTTATACAGTATACAGTGACTGCAATGATTGCTAAGTGTAAGCCGGGGGAAAAAAAAATGTAACTGGTTCTTGGAGACGGAAAGCTGACGTACCAGAAGGGAAAAACGAGGAGGAGGCCCGCCGTCCCTCAGAGAGACGCCTCCAAGGAGGCCTCGACGCCAAAGGTTCCCGCCCAGCTGGACGGGCACTAGTGCGCACGCGCCTCCACCACCGCCCCCCCCCCCCAGCAGCAACTAAAGGTTCCCGCCCAATTGGATGCAAGCGCTCGCGCATGCGCGGGGGGAAGGGAGATAGTGAGAGTCCTCCGATTAACGCCACGCCTCCACTTCCGCCCGCCGAGGTTCCTGAAGCGGGTTTGGGAAGTCGTCACTTCCGCCGGGACAGCTCAGTGCGTCCGGGTCAGCTGCTACGGCTGCTGTTACCTCTGTGGTCCGGGAAGTGGCCTGGGGTTTCCACCGCCGACCGAGGGGGAGCAGTCTCCGCTCGGTGCCACCTTCTGCGACCTGGCCGTCAGCCCCACGTCGCCGGCCTGGAGGGGCGAAGAGGACGAGGGGGCCCCGGCTGCCTCCGGGGTGAGCGCGGCCTGGGGCGGCCTGGACGCTGCGGGTGTGGGTTGGGGCTGGGCCTGGGGGCGCGCGTCTGCGGGCCGGTGACGCTCTTCTGAGGGGCGCGTGCGCCCACAAGCCGCCAGGGCGACCGAGCCCAGGGGTTATCTGTGGCCTGGGGCACCGAAGAACCCCCCCCCCCCCGGCGGAGGCACTTTTCCGGGGCCCGCCCAGCCTCGGTCCCCGCCCTTCGCCCGGCTCTTTTGCCCATCCTGCCCCCCACCCCCACCCTCTTCCTTTTCCGTTTGTGGTGCGTGTGCTTTGGATGAACACACACACACACACACTCACTCACGCCTGGGTGCGGTGAGGAGTTCAAGTTGGTTCCGTATTTACGTGCAGCGTCTATCCCCTTTGCAGAACAAAGAAACTTGGGACCTCTGGTGTACCTCGTTAGCCTCGGGGGGGGGGGGATGGACGCGGAAACGACACCAGTTAACTCAGAGCTCTAATAGACCTTCCTGAACAAGCTGAAGCAGAATGCAGGGCGTGTACTTGTAAAGCCGAGTCTCTGCGTGTTTTCAAGATTACCTTTTCTGTTTTAAGTACCTGGGCCCCCCCCGAAAAAAAATAATAATAGTAATAATAGCTGGGCTTTTCCAGATGTAGTTGGTGCCCCTGGAGAACGTAGTACACTAGGGTTAAATTCATTAAAACTATTTGGGTCTTCACTACATTATGTTAGAACTGCCATTGCCCTGCCACCTCCTCAGGGGCACAGCTTTTGCCGTGTGCATGCATACTTAGTTCGGTGAATGAAGTATGTGATCGCATCATACAGTTGCTTTCTTAGCCTTACTTTGGTTTAGTTAGGCTCTTCCCTGACCCCTGACACTTGATTTCTCCCGTCTGTCCATCTGTCTATCTTTGTCTCTGGTCTCTTGTCTATTTGCCTGCCTGTGACTATTGGAGCTTGAACTGGGCCGTTGGAGCTCTTAACACTTGAGCCACACCTCCACTTCCGACTTTTCTGTCCTGGCTGGCTTTGAACTATGATCCTCACATCTCAGCCTCCTGAGAAGCTAGAATTAGAAGTTTGAGCTGGCCAGGTGATGGTAGCTCATGCCTGTAATCCTACCTCCTCAGGGGGCTGAGTTCTAAGGATCTGGGTTAGAATCCAGCCCCGGCAGAAAAGTCCTCCAAGAGACTCTTATCTCCAATTAAACACTCAAAAGAGCTCAGGGACAGTGTCAAGGCACCGAGTTCAAGCCCCACAACCGACCAAAAAAATAAAGTGTGAGTCAGCAACACGTGGCACGATCATTGATTTCTTCAATTAGACATATTCAGTTTGAAATGTTAGCTAAGAATTTCTGCAGTTGTTGGGAAAAAAATTCAGTCATTTGTAAATGGATAAATTTCCTCAGTACTAAAGTTTCTCCTTAGTTCTTACCATTTAACATTTTCTCTAAACTGTATTCCTGCTCGGCATAATCTTCTTTTGTGCAGCCTAATAATGTCAAGGTTTGACAGGAAGCTTGGAAGGCCATTTCTGCATATGTGAAGCTTCAACTAGATTATAAAGCATTGCTACTGAGTTCTTTAGGCATTTCAGGACCTTTTAACATAAATGTAATGGTGTTACAAATTTATTCCATGTGAGGTTGCCAATGAATGGAGACTGCTGTGATAGAAATAATTTTGATCTAGATCTTGGAATCTGGATGTGGTGTCATAATAATGCTGTTTTGTACTTCACATGATTGTTGGTTGAAACAGGAGATGGTGGGTACAGATGGGAAAAGCACCTTATGTTCATTCTAACAGAGTAATTCAGGTAGAACAAGCATCTTAAAATGTAAGTATAGGGCTGGGAATGTGGCTTAGAGGTTGCATGCGAGTGCTTATCATGCATGAAGCCCTGAGTTCTATTCCTCAGTATCACATAAACAAAAAAGGCCAGAAGTGGCGCTGTGGCTCAAGAGGTAGAGCAAAAGAAACTCAGGGACAATGCCCAGGCCATGAGTTGAAGTCCCAGGACTGGCAAAAAAAGAAAGTATATCCAGGACCCATAAATTAATCTTGACTTACAGTAGATGGGAAAGTATCCTTTTAAACTTAATAACATTCCTCTGGCTGGGAAGGTGGCTCAGTGGTAGAGCATTTGCCTTGCATGCATGAGACCCTGGGTTCGATTCCTCAGCACCACATAGCAAAAAGAAAAAAAAGCCGGAAGTGGCGCTGTGGCTCAAGTGATAGAGCGCTAGCCTTGAGCTGAAGAGCTGAGGGACAGCACCCAGGCCCAGAGTTCAGGCCCCACGACCGTACCCCCCCCAAAAAAAATAAAAAAATTAAATTAGTAAGTGTTTAAAAAAAAACTTAATAACATTCCAAATTGGTTACTGTTTTATATATTAAGACATTTGTAACTGTCACAGAGGTCAGGTATTAGGCTTTACTTTTCTTAAAAGGTGTTAAAACATCTGATAATTTAATTCTACTCTTACAGATGACATACTTATCCTGTGCTTTATTTTACAATTTGAGAGAAATCAGCATCATTCTAATAAATTTTGCTTTTAACATTTCTGATAGAGCATGTCACTTCATTCTTAAAACCTATGTGATCCTGTACTTGTCAATAAAACAGCAAGCAAGACTGTAGGATTTTTCCTTTGTTTGTTGAGGGGTTTGTTTTGTTTTTGCTGATCCTGGGGCTTGAGCATGCTGGTCTTGAGCTCTGGTCTTGCATGAGCTTTTGTGTTTGAGGCTAGTGCGCCACCACTAGAGCCACTGCTCCACTTCCAGTTTTTTGTGGTTAATTGAGATAAGAGAAGAGAGTCTAGGGCTTTTCTGCCCAGGCTGATTTCAAACCATGAGCCACTGGCACCCAGCTCTGGGGATGTTTTGATGATCAGTCATAAACATACAAACTGCTCATGAAAGAATAAAATATTTTGGAATGAAACCTGTTTAAATGGGTAAGTGCTGTCCTCCTGCCAAGTGGAATTAATTTCACCACAGATTGGGCTTTACTTGAACCTATTCTAAGCAGTGTTTAACTCCATAAAATTGCTGTGTGAACTTTTAAAGGTAATTCTAGTTAATCTTCCCCCCCCACGCCCCCACCCCTGGTCCTGGGCCTTGAACTCTAGGCCTGAGCACTGCCCCAAGCTCCTTTTTGCTCAAGGCTAGCACTCTACCACCAGAGCCAGAGCACCACTTCCGGCTTTTTCTGAGATTAATGGAGATAAAAGTTTCACTGACTTCCTTGTCTGGGCTGGCTTTGGACCATAATCATCAGATCTCAACCTCTTGAGTAGCTAGGATTACTGGCATGAGCCACTGACACCAGCTTCTAGCTATAATCTTAATATTTAAGTTTTGCTTATCTTGCTAATAAACTGCTTCTGGAAACTCTTCTTTATCTTGGTTGGATTTACCACCATACCTACCCTCTGATGCTGTGTAAGGAAGTAATCTATTTTTAAGTATATTAAAATGTTACTTGCATGATCTTTAATATTTTTAATATCCGAATCAAAAAAGTGGGAAACACCACAGTTGACTTTTGAGTCAGCAATATCATGATTTTCTTCATAGTAGTTGTACTTATATGAACTCTTCCTTTTTTTGCATACATGCAAGGCAAGCACTCTACCACTGAGCCACCTTCCCAGCCCTATGAACTCTTCTTGTTTTCTGTTTTATCCAGCTGCTCGGTGATAAAAGTGCTACCAAGAGTCAATTCTCATAGTTGTTTAACTTATTTTTATCTACCTCGTGTACTTAATTTTACCTAGTGTTCTTGATGGAATGGTACCATTAATCAATGTTTATTTCTCCTCCTCCTTTGTATAACTACCTTAATTAGTCATCCCCTAAGCTAAATATCCATGGCCATAGCCTGAGGTATGCTAAATTCATATGCTTCAATATATTAGAGTTGAGAAGGTTCAAAGGGCTGAAGGAGTTGGGCTTTCTGTAGTTAACTACCTTTAAAGGTTGTGTCAGTATTCTTTTGTTCAGGCAGTAACACAGCCCAAAGGTTTGGTTATCTTCTACATTTTAAGAGAAATAGTTCTTACAAATAAGGAATAATTTTACCAACAAGAACTTATATTACATATATATAGATTCTCACAAAACTTGATTATGATTTTTAGAGGTAAAGCAAATAGGAATCCTATTTATATAATTTAACAAGCAAAATAAACCAAAGAGGTTGAGCAAAAGGCTTGCTTGCTACCGAAGATCATACCTTACAGTTAAATGTTTATCCATTTAATATCTCAGGCTTGTAGATGTGCCAACCATGATTGTTTGCGACTTTCAGTCACTGTCTTTACTTTTGAAATAATATGTAGTTTTGAAAAAGACATGCAGAACACTGATCTTTTTTTCAAATAACCAATAGAGCAGTAAGATGAGATAATTGGAAGCTTTTCCTTTTTTGGGAGGGCGGGGGGGTCCAAGACTGGGACTTGAACTTGCTATCTGTTACTCTCAACTCGTTGGCTGGCACCTGAGCCATACCTCAAACCCCGAAGCTTTTCCAATTATTGAAATTAGGTAAATATATTTGTGCATAGCAAAGACTGAGTATGTGAAATCTAGTGAAGATTCAGTTTTCAGCTATTAGTGATAGAATAATCTCAATTTAACATGACACAGAGTAAGCAGTATTAAGTATTTGGACTTGTTGACTATAATCTTGGACTGTCTTTTTGTTCTAAATAGAAAAGTCGTTTGATAAAGTACCTTTTTTTCTTTTTCTTTTTTTTAATTTCCTCTACAGAAAAGAGTTGCTGACAAAAATGCAGCCTGTAAACTGATCTTTTGTTGTTGTTGTTGGTCATGCAGCTTAAACTCAGGGCATGGGCACTGTCCCTGACCTTTTTTCATTCAAGTCTAGCACTCTACCACTTGAGCCACAGTGCCACTTCTGTTTTTCTGAGTGATTTATTGGAGATAAGGGTCTCATGAACTTCCCTACCCTGGCTAGCTTTGAACCATGATCCTCAGCTCTCAGCCTCCTAAGTAGCTAGAATGTACCTGGCTATAAAATGATAATTGTAGGTGTGTTAATTAAAACATATGTATTAGAAACAGAAACTGCTAAATATGTCAGAATTATTTTTAAGTGTTTAATTCCTTAAAATTACTTAGATCAGTGTTTTCTCAGAATTAAAAATACTTCACCCAGGGCTGGGAAGGTGGCTCAGTGGTAGAGTGCGCTTGCTTTGCATGCCTGAGGCCCTGGGTTCGATTCCTCAGCACCACATAAGCAAAAAGAAAAAAGCTG